CGTTCCATTAAAAACAAACAAACAAAAAGAGTGGAAGTACTACACCCCTCCACATATGTTTAGAATATCACCTTTGACATTATTAGATACAGACTGTGCCAGTAAGAAAACCCATTACAAAGAGCAAAGAGGACTTTATTTCGGGGGCAGGGGATGGTGGTGTGATTTTAAATCATGATTTTCATACATGAGTAAGGAGTACAAGGAAATGTATCCTTTGTCTTCTATGGATGGCCATAGACAGGATAAGGGGCTTCCAGTTCTTAAGAGCAATTATTTCCCTTCAATTGGATAATGCATGCTAAGATAACTGGGGGTCTATAGTGCTTTGGGGCTTAGTGCATGGATGTACCAGGAGCTAAAACAAAAATAGTCACTGGGATAATTGGAAAGCACAGGAGTTGGGCTTTATGAGAAAAACTGATTGCATTCAGTCCCCTTAGGTCACAAAATACTTCTTTTTAGTAGCAAATGCTGCTTTATTTTCTGACTTCATAGATATAATGCCCAGTGGCCAATGGCCATTTCCAAACAGGCCTCTCCTCACAGGGAAGTACTAGACCCTGGGGAAAGAAGTCTAACCTCAGGACTTGCACAATTTCTAACTATACCTTCATCACCCTAAAGTAGACATTGCACACATTCTTCTGTCCCTCTTGGTCTTCAGTTCCTCCTCACACAGCCAGCCCTTCCCAGTTCAGTGCTCCTTTAACCACAGGCTATTTGTTGATGCAGTTGCTGTCAACTGGTTTGGTAAGAAGCCAGGCCTGGAGGAAATAGAGGGTCCTGGCAAGAACATGGATTACAGGCCCCCACCAGGTTAGTTTCCGAGTCCTGCAACGCACTGTGCTTCTGCCTTAGTTGGCTTGGGCCATAAAAGACAACCATGGTCTGAATGGTTTAAACAACAAACATATTTCTCATAGTTCTGGAGGCTGGGAAGTTTGCAATCAGGGTGCCAGCATGGAGGGATCTCTTCCTTGTTTCCTTATTTGAGGGATGTGGAAGGGGTTGTGAGAAGAAGCAAGCTCTCTCCTGTCTCTTTTAATAAGGGAGAGGGGGAGGGGCATGCACTGAGCCCATCATAAGGATTCCAACCTCATGACCTAATCACCTTCCAAAGCCCCGTATCCAAATACATAAAAGAATAAGGTTTTACCATGAATTTTCGGTGATTCAAACATTCAGTCCATAGCAGTCTCTATTAAAAAGTGTATGAGATTAGAGGCCACTGTGGGGCTACCAGGGAAATGATTAGCAAAAGAAGGTACTATCCAGGTATAGCCTAAGAGTATGAAAGGGTGATAGGCATAGAGAGTTAGGTAGGGGCGGGGTGCAGAGGCCTTTCAGGCCATGTTTGAAACAGCTCTCCCAGAAAAGCATTCTAAAAATTCTTAGACGTCCTTTGGATAAAAGAAAACTTGGCCTTGGCTTAAACTGCACAGGCATTTTAAGCGAAGAGCAGGCAAATTTTTCATAGTACCTGCACCTCCAGGACTGGAGATTTTGGGGTGACTGAGGCTCTTGGAACAGAAATCTGTGTAAGATCTGCCTGGCACAGTGGCAGCCTGGGTCCTGGGTCACAGACAACCTCGCAGGACAGTGGCTTGCATCGCCAGGATTGTTCATTCTATTCCATCATCTATCTCTCATCAGTCCTTCCACCCCAGCATGAGACACTGTAGGATGAACAGTCTTGCCTTCAGAACCGTCTTCTCAGTGAGGCCTGGCCTCAGTTTAAACCCAGAGGAATGTTGTAAATATTGGGATTGTCTCGGTGAAGGAAATCTTGGTCACTGACTTACTCACCATGACTTCTCTTTTCTTAGGCTTCTGGGTTACAGCCTGAGGTTGCCGGTAATTTTATCTTCTTTTGGATTGCTTTCTGTCTCCAGTAACCAGATCACACTTGTAGTTACAAAAGAGATAGGGGGAAATTCACCAACAGTTTTCAACACAGAAATAGGGGAGGCCTGGAAAGAGAGTTCAGATGCTGGGCTCCTGGAAAAGTAAGCCTGAGGGGGCTGGTCTAGGAATTGTGAGGCCTAGCGAGGTGAGACACTGCAGAAAGTAAGCCCAAGGGGTGAGGGGGACACCTAAGCCGAGGCCCACGCACTCACGGCCTGGCGCCTAGGTGACTGGTGGAACTTATCAATCTGTTGGGTAGTTTTTCCGTCCTCTGTCAGGTGGCAGATGAGTGGAAACTAATCTTCGGGGCCCGTTTGTTTTACCTCTGCAGGAAACCAGCTGCATGCACTTTTTCCCAAACTTGCTTTCGTGGCTGGGAGAACGGAGCAATTGGAGAAGCGAGCTGTGGGCCCAAATCCGCTCGTGCCCAGGAGATGTGGGCCGACCTTCGAGGCTTACTGGGGAAAGTAGAGATGTCAGCAGTAGAGAAAATGTGGTGTAGGCTTGCGCAATTTGTGGTGAAGTTCACAGGAGTAGGGCTCGAGGTAGCCCAGACAGTGAATTGAGATTCCTCCCCACGGCAGATTTGCTGTGGACACAGGCTCGCGAAGACAGGCTGCTCGGCGTGGAAGGCAGGGCGTAGACAGGGCTGGCGCAGCCCTGGCGCACAGCGCAACCTTTTCCTCAGCGGAGCTGCGGGGGAAGGGGGCTTGGCAACTCAGCTCACGGAACAAGCGGGGTGCTGCCTTTCATGTTTCACTGTTCAGCTTTTGCAGGTCTTTATTAATGGCCCCAATACATAACCCTCTTGTTAAAACAAAAATGTTTAAAAGTTTAATAACAACCACCCTACACCAGTATTGTCACTAATGGAGACTTCCTTTTAAGCCCTGCGCTTGTGGGCGCATTCCGCTGTCTGCCCAACCCCTAAGCCTCCCACTTCAGTATGGAAGACAGTTGGGCGCTGAGTTCTGCTTTGCCAAATTCAATCCTTTCCCACAACAGCTGGTCACTTCTCTCCTCTTAGTGAGCCTCTGGCTCTTTCTAAGGCCTTGGAATCCGGAAGAGTGTATCTTGCCATCCTCCAGGTTGAGGTAGACTAAAGCCTGAGCAGGTGTCTTTGTCTTCCTGAGTCATTCCTAAGCAAGGATTTGATCCCCAGCTCGGCTCCTGCGGGAATCAAGAGGGAAACAAAGATGGTTATTTCAGCTCAGGCGGAGCTGCAGAAACTGAGAGAAGGGAGCAAGGGCAAAAGGCTATCAGTTGCAGAAACCAGGGCCCAGAGTCCCCTTGACATTCTGGGTTTAGACAAGGGGCTGATAGTGCAGCAGGGGCAAGAACCACTCTCCTCCTCTTTCAGCAGATTCCTTGAGTTAAAAAAAAAGGGGAGAGAAACAAGCAACTGGATTTGCTTTGGAGAATCTTTGTCACTTGAGGAATGGGTTGTGGATTGGTGTGGCATTGGGGAACTTACGAACGGCATTCAGCAGCATCAATGTGGCTTAAACCCTGACAGCTTTGCCACAGACCTCAGGCCATCATCTGAAGGAGGAACAGCACCCAGTTTCAGCATCCTACAATCACCCACCCCAGAAAAAAAGGTGATTTCAGTCAAGTGGACCATTCTGAGATATACTGTGACTGTTCTCAGTGTCTACTTTTCCGGTTGCCTTGTAAGGATCTGCCTACCCATCCTAGTTAAGGGAGAAGTAGATAACTTGAGCTTAGAACAGTGGAGAGGGAGTGTGTTCAGCCCTGGACAGTATCTCATAAAGGGTGCCCTCGTTATGCAAATCTATATGTGATGTCCTTTTTCTTTACCACAGTGTTTTTACTACGTTTTCCAGGTGACCTTCTGTTTTACAAGTACCTTGATGTTAAGTACTCTGGGGGTGGAAGATTCCAATCCTGAAAAATCTACATTCGTTTCATATGCTTTTCATTATTGAGATGGGAAACCTTAAGTGGGTACTCAATAATGGATAAGGTTGTTTGTTAGCATCAACCTTGGCTCATGTGAATTGACCTTATCAGTCAATGTTACCGGCAGTTACATTAAAATAACAAATGAATAATGTATCAAAGCTTAGTTTAAAGTTTCAAAGATGTTTTCAGACAGAAACATTCCAAGAATGCAAGTCAGGTGTTTCTCAGATGCTGCGTACAGGGAAATTCTCCGTTCTCAAGTAAATTCTCCCTTCTAGGTTTCCTGAGATTGAAATCCAGCGTGCACGTCATTATTCATTCATAGGTTCGGTCCTTCAGTCAATGGCAGGTCTGAGTAAGCCAAATCGAGCGGTTAGTTAATCCTGCCAGGGGGATCCTGGGGCGAAAGAGGACATCTGGGCGGTCAGTCACTTGTGCTGGTGGCCAGCCCCTGCACCTCTTGCCCCGATCCGAGCGCAGGAGTGCGTGTGCCCTGGCTCTCAGGAACACAAGCCGAGAGCTTCCCAGAAGGAAAAAAGAAATTCGTCATACTATTGAGAGCAGCCGAGAGTTTCCAACAAGAAAGCAGCTCCAGTCGTGGCATGATGACTCAGGGTGTCGTTTAAACGCTGAATAAACCCTTTCCTTAGCTCTTTAATAAATCGGTAATAACAAAAACAGCCTTCTCCCTCAACCGCGCCACACCAAAGCCTTTCCAAGTTGGGCTACGAATCCCTATTTGGTTTTCTGCCGCCGAAAGCCGTAGAAGCAGTGGGACCTCCTGGCGGGACGCGGTTCTCGAAGGGCTCCCGGGGAGGGGACGAGATAACGGGGTTTACTGGCAAAGAGGAGAATCTGGAAATCGTGTAATAGGGTGGAAAGAGTGCGTCGACCAGTCGCAAGTGTGCGGTAGAGGTAGGAGAGGACGAGGACCCATTTCCACATTTCAACCCCCCGTTTCTGTCGCTGCCCCTGGAGGACTCCGCTGCTCAAGCAGAGCTGGTTTCTGCGCGGCTCTGGCCCTAGTCCGGGAAGCGGAGTGGCCGCGCTGCGCATGAGAACTGCTGGGGTGCGTGGCTCTGGTATAGGCGCACCCAGCGTCCGGGGCGCAGCTTCTCTCAGCCCAGCTTCTCCTCCCACTCACTCGCTCGGATCTCCTCCCTCCTTCACACCCCCCGCCCCCGGGACCGCGAGGCTCCCTCCCCGCACCGGCCGGTGAGTACACAAAGCCGCGGGTGAGGGGAAGCTTCGCAGGCGTGCACGGAGCAGTGAGATCACTGGCGTTATAAATATCCCTGTGCCAGCGCGGAGATCCGCTCGGGGGCCTCTCTCTCCCCCTCTCCCCTTCTCATCCCCGAGGCTATGTCCACCCGGTGCGGCGAGGCGGGCAGCGCCAGAGGCACGCAGCCGCACAGGGGCTACAGAGCCCAGAATCAGCCCTGCAAGATGCACTTAGGACCCCCGCGGCTGGAAGAATGAGCTTGTCCTCCCTTCTCCTCCTCTTCTTCAGCCACCTGATCCTCAGCGCCTGGGCTCAAGGGGAGAAGCGCCTTGCCCCCAAAGGGCAATCCGGACCCGCTGCCAATGATAGGAACCCTAGAGGCTCCAGCAGCAGACAGAGCGGCAGTAGCGCTATGTCTTCCTCTTCTGCCTCCTCCTCCCCCGCAGCTTCTCTGGGCAGCCAAGGAAGTGGCTTGGAGCAGAGCAGTTTCCAGTGGAGCCCCTCGGGGCGCCGGACCGGCAGCCTCTACTGCAGAGTGGGCATCGGTTTCCATCTGCAGATCTACCCGGATGGCAAAGTCAATGGCTCCCACGAAGCCAATATGTTAAGTAAGTTACTCGCTCTCCTACAAACCCTGTCCTAGGCGGGCGGCGGAAGATTCCGGAGGGACAGCAGGTATTCCCCGGGCCACAGGCGCACCTTCCTGAGCCCGTGTCACTGGGACTAGCTGATACTCAGAAACAGCCGGGCAGGTTGGGTGGAGATGCACCTATATGGTGTGCGCACACGCACCCCTCTCCTGTGCATGAGGAATGGCGATTTCTGAGGTGTGTGTTACCTAGAGGCTGGTGCCCAGACGGGTACCTTGTTTCCAGTTTGCCCTAGCCTCAAAGACGAATCTCCAGCCATGAGGGAAGAGAACAAACAATCTCATTCCTTCTCGTTCAGTTTGTTTACCTTCTGCTTATGAACTAGCCTGGCATTTTTAATTAGGCATTAAAGTGCAGCCCTTCTCCATATCCATAACTGAAGTTATTTTTTAAAAAGAAGAATCAAATCTTAAATACTTCCCTCTTCCAACTGCTACCATAAACGTCAAATTAATATTATATATATATGCATATACATATATATGTTTATGTATACAATGCATACACATAGGTATATATAGACACAAAATATAGATAGATAGATAGATAGATAGATAGACAGATAGATAATTAGGGGACATCAGACATTTCTGCTTGGAAGAAGATTGTGCTCTGGAAAACTGGACACGTTTAGAGAGGGAGACGTGATAAACATTGTAATTACTAACTCCAGAGTTGGATTTAGAAACGTTTAGTATCTTGAGACCATGACTACACCTTCTTAGGAGAGTGGCCAGCCTTTGATACCCTAGAACAGTGAGGGGAACGTTTCTTATTTTAGAAGAAGCACAGAGGTTAAATTTGGTTTGGGTGTAAATTTTGTAGGACTTTTTATAAACAAAGTTTTACATTTTCCCTCTGAGTTTTCTCTTTTAGCAGGAGCTCTGTTCTCCTTTCTCATCTTCTCTTCCCTTCCACCCCATCTGTGTTTCCAGACCATCGCAGTCACTCCTCTGGTTTCCCTTCACTGCCTCTAGGCAGCTGGGGGCAGAGATGGTTTGGGACTGTGTGTAGGACTAGAGGGATCTCTGTGGGGCTTTTGCTCAGTAGGTCCAGATCCCTCTTCCAGCACGGGTTGGTCAGCCAGGCAGAGCCCCAGCCAGGGCCTGTCAGGTACCCAGGGAGGGCGGAAATGTAGCCAGGAGACAGCAGTGCGCATAGTCACCTGTCTTTCAATGTCAGCCTGGTTGCTCCTAGATGTACCTACCTTGCTCCATCTCAGACCAACGACTCCGCGGGCCTTTGGGCTTCTTCTTTCACGGGCTCTAAGAGGAGCCTGGACGCCACCGGCAGGCTGAAATTTTGGCAGCCAGCAGTCTCCGGAGCGGGATCGGAGCTGCACAAGTGGGTTAGGTGGTAGGTTGGCAAGCCTCCTCCCGCGAGTTAAGGGGGCCTCGTGTGGAAGTCCTGATGGTTCATGCTGAGAGAGGAACAGGTCTATGCCCGCCCCCTGCGCCTGTCTAGTCTATTTGGTGGCGCTGATTCAGCAGCCTGCGGCGCACGTGGTGAGGGAGACTGGAGCGGCCCGTTGGAGACAGCGCTCCCCAGTGAGTCCCAGGGCCTCCCTCAGGCTCCCAAGAGGAAACTATGTCCATATTTTAGAGTTTATTTCATTCATCAAATAACTTATTTTGGGAGTGGATAAAGTTCAAAATCTATTGGGGTGAAGGAGAATTTTCTGAGATTTGAGAAGTAACCAGTAACGTCTGTTTCCATTCGTCCTTCTCATTTTGTCTCAACCATCTCTTGACTCCATTAGCCATCACAGCTTATTCTTCACTTCAGTCAACCTTTCCTTCTCTCTCCCAAGAAACCTTTCTTTCTTTCGTTATTCCTGTAATTTATCCAGGAATCAGCAGCAACAGAGGATAACTTCTGTGAGCTCAAGGGAGATCCCAAACTAGCAGGCAGCAAGAGGCAGGTTGGAGCCCAGGGAGCTCAGAGAATGCCTCTGGGGAGGGTTTAGTTGTAATGGAGATCTCGGAAAGCAAGGCTCATTCCCAGGATATTAATCGTCTTCTCTAGGAAGACACTGTAAGAGACAAAGATAGTTTTACAGCTTAGGCCTTGCTAGAGCGGATGTTGTAGAAAAGCAAAGGGAGGAAAATAAGAGCACATCAAAAAGGATACATCCAGCTAAACCAGACATTTACAAATACCCAGTATGTAAAATGTACATTTTCTTTTAAAATCCATGTTGAAAGCTATCTACAAGAGAACAGGGATGTTTCCCAAAACTGTGCCGAAATAAAACTTAGACTTTTTCCTAATTTTTTCCTCTTTACAGTAACCTTTCAGAGTTTAGTTTCTGTGTCTTTCACATGACTTGCTTTCATTCACATATTGATTCATTCATTCATGTACCCAATATAAGACACCTATCTCATTAAGCATGATATTTTGGTTACTTTTGTGTTGTTTGTCTTCCATAGAGTTCCCCCCCCCAGAAGAAAGCATAACAAATATTTAAATCATAGTGATTTTCTGCTTTGTGATGTCTGGAGTGTCTAATACTAACTACTTCATAAAATTTTTACTACCATTGATCAATGAAGAATTTGCATGTAATTTGTGAATTTAACATGGATCTCTGCCATTACCTAGCTGTAAAAGAGAAACAGAAGCTTGCTAATTATAACTGGTCATTTACCTCTTTGAATGCAGCACTTGATGTTTCCTGACATTCCTGTTAACTAGGGTGTTGGCCATGACCTTTCTTAGAGTATGTGAAGAAGTGTGTTTAAATCTCAAAGAGGCTGAGAGGGCCGGATCAAGTTGTATCCACAGAGGATACATCAGTTTGATCTCATCATCTAATTCTACTGTCTGTGAGGTAGCAATGATAGAAAACATATTCCTTTTGTTACAAGCCTGATACTTCAGAAAAGTCAAATCTTTGCCATGAAACTTCATTCTAACAAGTTATTTTAAACCTAATAACATTCTGTAGTATTTGTCTTATAGACAGATAAACATATGTGTTTCACAACTATTATTTGACAGTAAACTTTTATGTCTATATTTTTGCAAATTGCAAATATTTTTTGGTTTCCTCATCAGAAGTACATTCTGGCCATGGACTTTCAAACATACTTTGTTTAGTTTACATGAACCAATTAATATATTCTTAGCTTCTCTTATACAATAGTTATCCCAAGTTTTGAAGACAGAAAATGAAATCAAGCTCATTGTATATAAATCCTTATTATGAGGAAACATGTGGAAAGATGAAGAAAGATGAACAAGACAAGATAGATGACCCAACTATTGCATGGAAACAAAGGGTTTGCTTTGTTTATATATGTCTTCAAGTTTAGTTTCAATACAGTGCTTCTGTTTACTTATCTTGGGCCACTGAATAATAGGTAATCAAGTAATTGTCAATTTAGGGAAGAAAAGTTTAAGGCTGTGGCTACACAAACTCAATGCGATTACATGAAATATGAAAATTCCAAGCACATATTTTGGCTGATAGAATCGCCAATGTTACTGCTTTTTTAAAAAATCTAAATTCACTACCAATTTTGGTGTCATGTGGAATCATTAGACAGTCCCCCAAGCCTAAATAAATCAGAATCTGTATCTACTATGTAGAAAAAAGTCAAGTGGAAACTTTCTGTTACTAATTTAATCAGTGAAGGCTGCTAAACTGAATATTTCAAGATTCAGATTTGGTAACTTGGCACAGCATATCTGTTACTTTGTGGATGCAAGTAGAGAAACTCCAGTTTTAAAATATTTTTCTCTGGGGATTTTCAGATGGGTTGTTGAAAGTTTCTGAATACATGGGATATCTATGCTTTTCTATATTTTATTCATAACAAAAGAGAGAAAAAGGAAAAATTTGTATAATTATACCAACCACTATCAATAGAGCCCGATTATATTAAAACATCTGCAGAGGACTAAGTCAAAAATCTAGAAAATTTTTTTTTTTCAGAAGTAAACTTACTTCGTAATGCATAAGTGGAATAGACTGTGTGTGTAAACTGAGAGACCAAGAAATTCTCGCCTTCTTCAGCCTAGGTGCCAATGCTGAAATCCCACAAAGAGAGAATAATTCCTTCTCTTAAGCATTCTCCTCTTCTTTTGACCCTCTTAAATGGGAACACCTTAAGAAAAAAGCACAGGTTCACTAGCACTTTGATGTGAATTAATTCACACTGAACCACCCCCACCCATGGCTTCTAAAGCAGGAAAAGGCCGTAGTATCAGGAGAGTACTAAGACACCTGTCCATACTTGTGTATACATGGGGTGTCCTGACAAGAGAAAAAAGGTAGTGAGAGAATCAAAGAAGACAGTCAAATTTAGCAAACAGTCATGGACTATCTACCATCTATGAGACAAGCTTGGCCTTCCACAATTTTGCTTAGAGATACTGTCTTGGCATTCATAAGGAAAATTGTTAAGTTTTTGTCAAATTTAATATGTCTGACTACCAATGATAAAGGTCAGAAAATTACTGAAATTAAAAAAAAAATAGTGTCAAAGAAATGTTTTCTGAAATTTGTATATGTGTGATTTAATGTATATGGGTTTAAAAAATTATGTAGAATTCCTAAATGAGTTACTGAGATTTGTCATAGTAAAATCAATAGGCCTGTGATGTCTTGGGGAGGAGGGCAGGAAACTGAATCATGTGACTTGTTGAATCTGCTCCAGTGTTTTAAAAAACAAGACATTGTGAAATCACTGCTGACATTACTTTGGAAATTATGATCATAGAGTGTTCTTACTATTAGGTCATAATAATAGTAAGATTTAGAAGATCAATACCAAAGTTGCCTATGTGAAAAGTAATTCATCCATCCAATCTTATCTCTTACATCTCCTGCATTCCTTATAATAGTAAATAAAATGATATATGTAAAGCCTATTTTTAAGCTTTCAGTTAAAGATAATTTTCTTAAAATTATAAAATCCTTTAATTCTCAGGCAATATATCATTTTTATCCTGGAAAATTTAAGAAGAAACCATGCAATATGTAATCAAATAATAACACTTTTTCACATATATTATTTCATCTTCCCCATATTTAAAATTCATTACATGCAAATTGGACATAATATATACACACAAAATGTACACTGTATTGAAATACAAGTTAAATGATTCTAAGTGGATCTTTCTTTAAAAAGAGAATAAGTTAGTTATCAGAAACTATTTATTTAAGCAAAGCAGTATTATTTCTATTAAAACAAATATTTATAAAGCCTTTTTATCTCAACATCTTCAAAGTTAGCATACAAACACATACACTTATGAGACTTTAATATGTTATTCTACCATATATTTTTCATTAATATACAATATATCTCACGTTCAAAACCAGAAAAATTTCCAGGGAATGGAATTAAAAGCCTCTGACAATCTAGCACCATTAGTAACTTGGAGGAAATATACAACCAAATCTCTCCTCTACCAACTCCATGTTGTCCCTTTTGTATCTATCATTTCACACATATACAATTTCTCACTTTCTTTCTCATTTTTGAATGCACATGTTTACATAAATATTTACAATCACATCCCCCATCTCCCAAATATCTAAAAGCATTGATGCTATTCTCAGTATCATCCTGTAATTGTGATAGAAATTTAACATTTTATCAGCATTCCAGTCACCCTTTAGTAATAATATTACTATAACATGTTACATCTGTGTAGAGTATTTAACTTTACAAAGCACTTGGTATGCTTTGTTAATATTTGATAAAATGATAATGCTTCTAAACCTTTGGATGTGTATCATGCTCAAATAATGTTCATAGTAAATTCTATAATAAATAGCATTTGAAAAACATTTTGAAGGAAAGGATTTATAAGACAGTAGTGTTTTTTGTTTGTTTGTTTTTTAGCAGTTTACTCCTAAAAGCAAAAGTAGTTTCCAATAGTTTTTAGTTTTTGTTTTTCAATTTAAAGAAACATCTATTAATGAATGAGTACCTGAAGTTTCCCTAAGGTATGTTTTATTTACTATGGGCTGAAAACATTTTTTTTTAAAGTTGTTCAGTTATCCCCTTTTTCAAATAAATTTTCTGATCAAGTTTTTTAAGAAACCAAGTTGAATAAATAAACAGCAATGCTTGCTACAATTACAGATGTTAGCTCACATTGCACAATATAAGTGCTCAATCAAGTTGCTCACATATATTTATAAAATATTTTTTGTTTTTGGTAAGCAGAATAGTTTTATATGTACCTCAAATACTGTAGGGAGAAACTTCTATTTCAAGAAAATATGATGAATTTCTCTATTTGGCAGAGTCCTATTGAGATATCCTAATTTGTATATATGCTCAGTATATTATAGATCGAAGTATTGAGATGTTCTTTTCTCCTTCCCCCCTTCTTTATTTCCTTCTTATCTTCCTTCCTTCCTTTCCTTTTTAAAACTAGAGATGAGGTGTCACTATTTCGACCAGATGGTCTTGAACTCCTGGCATCAGGCAATCCTTCAGCTTCAGACTCCTAAAGTGCTGCAATTACAGGTGTGAGCTACTGCACCTGGCTTCCCTTTTTCCTTTCTAAAACAAGTCCCTTTTTAGGTCTATTGAACTAAAAACCTCTTTAAAAAAAATTTGAAATAGACAACAAATAAAAAACATTATGTTCTTTTCATGTTCATATAACATACATACATTTGTGTTAAATAAGCAAGCTTTCTAATTATATGCAGACTATGAGTTTTATCTTATTGAAATACTCTATGAACTGTGGTGTATAATTCTCTTGATCCAGTGGATGTGAACTTTGAAATTACTGTAGAAGACAGAGAGACATTGACTTCATAATGCTAACTATAAAATACAAAATATAAACAATAATGTAATAAACTATCTAATTAATTTTTTTCCAGGAAATGATTTAAAATGCAAGATTTATCAAAGCATAATCTATTAAACATTTAATTAAACCAATAATTTCAAGTTATTTATAATGCTTTCAGTATTTTATATGCAGTCTTTAAATGTAGTCACTAAAAGACTGAGTATGGTATATGTTTATTTGTTACTACCATTAAAACCATGATGATTAGAGCAGAGAAATTTATTTAAGGTAAATAAGTATTATTTTCCAGGCTTTCAAATGGTTATACTAGTCTTGAGCACGAAATTTATGTGCTTTAATATTCAAAGTGGTGTACTATCTTTGATGAAGAAACAATGGATGAGAATTATTAACATTTTTTAATGTCTTCTCAGTTCCCTTAAAATCTTAGAAAATCTCAGCTCACTGTTTACTAAAAGCAAATTATTTGTCCAAAAAATTATGATGAGGTAGAATTAAATTTTTAAATCTCGAAATTATCTTGAATCCTAGGTTTATTTTTGTACACAGTGAATGTCATGAAAAATAAGGATGTTAAATACAAAGTTCTTTTTTTAAATCACAATAATAAAGAATGAAAAGAATCTATGTAGAAATTTAATTCTTCACAATAATATAAAGAAGAGTCTGTTTTATTTTGGGATTTCTGTCATCCTAGGTATTTTGGAAATATTTGCTGTGTCTCAGGGGATTGTAGGAATACGAGGAGTTTTCAGCAACAAATTTTTAGCGATGTCAAAAAAAGGAAAACTCCATGCAAGTGTAAGTAGAACCACTTTATATTTGTTAAAGGTGCTATAAAGATTTCACATTTGTAAAACAGAAAAAGTAATTTTCCAAATTAGTAGGTAAGACAATTTGCCCAAAGAACTTATTTTTTTTTTAAAGTATATGTACATTTAACCAAGAGAATTTTGTGTGCTTCTAGAAGTAATCATTTAAATATTTGCTTGAAAAGATATTACAGAGTCTACAAAAAGTTTAAGCATAGGTGTATTTGGAAATAGCATTCTCAAAGGGGTAGCCATCCATTTATTTCTTAGAAGCAGCCCACGTAAGAAGAAATATTATGGCAACAATATATTTCATAACATATAAGTTTATAGCGATTGTGCATTTGCTTAGTAGATGAAGTTATTAATTTTACAAGCTACTCATAATACCAAAAATTGGGTCTCAGTAATGTAAAATATTTTCAAATTAACAAGTAGGGAGAGAAGAAACCAATAATTAGAAGACTCTGACTTTCATAGATAAATTTTATTTGATTAATTTGAAGAATTTTTATCTCGTATTTTTGTCACATCAAAAATAACTTAATACTATGAAAACTAATTTTGCATTCTCAAAAATTTATTTAGATCAGTTTTACGTATTGTAATCAATTTACAAATTATTTATTTGCTTTGTTATGCAAGTTCCCATTACCTGGGAAGTAGTAAAACGTATTAAAGATAATAAAGTACGTTCAGCTTAGTTTTCCCACTTTAGATTCTATTTGTATTAGTATATATGCACCACACTTAAAGGTGCTTTATGCTTTTTCTGTGATATACTCATTTTCTTCACATTAAAATATTTTAAAAGCAATTATTCTTTGAAGTTAGTCCTTTAATCCTTATTCCTTTTAGTATTAAATAAATTATTGGAATATCACATTTTCAATTTTCAAAGTTATAGAAAGTTTTGATAGCTATCAATTGAAACTTACTATTTATAATTTTATTTCATAGATCTTTAAAAAAATTCAGTGAGAATACCACTTGGTTTAATATGTAAGACTTTTATAATTTTACTTGTCTTAACATCTAAAGGTGGTTTGTTAATATCTTTTGGAAGAGACAGAATTTGAGCAATTTCTATAGTTATTTGAGGATTCAATGAGATAATGCATGCAATGTGCTTAGAATACTATTTGGTGTATTATAAGTGCTCAATAAATATTGCCCATTATTATAGAGTAACAATCTGAATATAATAAACTACTAAAAATCTCAGTTTAATAACATGAATAGAAATCCTTTGTTAAACTCTGAAATCACCCATTGCAAGAACTGTTAAACAATTTACCTATTTCATTTTTTGAGCTGGTTACTATATTCTATCAAGCTATAACATAGTATTCATAAAGACATTTTTTAGATTTTTTTCATTTATTTAAGGGACAAAGATTCTGCATCACTGTGAAAAAGTAGGGTATTTAATTTTTTAAATTTATTTTTTATTTCAATAGGCTTTTAAGGAGTAGGTGGTATTTGGTTATATGAGAAAGTTCTTTAGTAGTGATTTCTGAGATTTTGGTGCACCCATCACCTGAGTAATGTGTACTGTACCCCATGTGTAGTCTTTTATCCCCACCCACTCCCTCTTTACCCCTGAGTGTCCAAAGTCCAATGTATCATTCTCAGGGCATTTAATTTTATTTAAAAATATTATATAAAATCCACATACAGAATGGAAAACAATGATTACACACATCTGAACAAAATAACTTTTCCTCAGTCTACTTAAAGTTTATGAAATATTAAAACACCTTCAAAATCTAACCATCATAATAATATACTAGGCATGCAAAGAAACTTTCTCTTGCTGGTTTGTTTTGGGTAAAAATCTTAACTTTCAAAATATTCTGATTTATGCCCTAGTACATGCAAAAAATAGTCCACACTTGGAACAGCTTAAGGATAATTGCCAAAGAAAGTAACGTATTACAAATGGAAGCCAATTAGAAAGGTCAAACTAAGGGGTTAAGATACGTGATTCCTCTGTCAAATGCAAGTAACACATTTCTAGAAATTTGACCCAAATGTCTAAAGATGGCTGGTTGAAATAATGCAGATAATGCAAAAGCAGCATCTGTTATTCTTTCTCATCTTGGCAGGCTAGAGTTATTTCATAGAATAATGACTTTCAAACAGTACAAAGCAAGTCTTGCTCTTGTCACTCACTGAAGCTCTTTGATATAAAAGTCATTCTGATGACTTTGAGCTGAATTGTAGATAAAAATATTAAGCCCTATGATTATGCAGATTCTTTTTAAACCAATTATCCAAGCTCACTTTCTCTTATCTGAGCTTTTATTAGCACTTTTCCTCTAGGTGAAAACCTAATTAAATTATAAAGTGATTTATTTTTTAAAGATGTTGAATTTAGAAATACTATTAATGCTAGCAATTATCAGTTTTATGCTCAGTTGGTTTCTTTCCTGTTTTCAGATTCTAGTTAAATGTGTTGGGAAATTGCTCTTGTAACTCTAAATATGACTATTTGATTTAGTTAACAATTCCGATATTTAAAACTTTACATCATCCCCCAAAAAGGTTAAAAACTCATAGAATTTTAGGATTAGACTTGTAATTGATGAGTTGCTTTAAATTAATAATTTTGCAGAGGCACTTAAAGAGTACCTTTAGGGTTCTATCTACAAAGCAAAGGTGAACTAAAAATATAAAATATTAATAGAATTCTGGGAAATGTAATCCCCCACTGTACTGAGAAATATTCATGGATACTTGTAGATATTCAACTCAGTTTTTGTAGTAATAATCAAAGTATTAAAAATTAGTTACTAGGCAGAGATAATGTACTTTCCTAGTTCTCTAAAAGCTCTTTCACTCACTTTATCTCATGAGATAATAAGGTAATGAAAGAGTCTCATAGATGTTAAATTATTTTCCCAAGGTTACACAGTTAACAAGTGATTGAACCAGAACTATATCCTCTTAAAATTTTCTCTTTCTCTTTAAATGCCATAGTGCTTGGTAGATAAAAGTTAGCCTGAAAGAGGATATTATGTTTTGTTGAGAAACAATTA